CTTTCAAAATGATTACACTTGTGCCAGTTGGCCCAGGAGTTAAGGAGGATGGACCAAGGTACGGTGCACAGAAAACAACCTGTTGCATACGGAGTTGTTCATTACCTGAGCTGGTGTTAGAACATGAATTTTTGGAAATAATCCAATGGCATCCGAGGATGCATAAAACACTACCGACCACAGCGCTAATGCAGAAGCATCACAGAGACGTTCAAGAAGAGAAGGTATCTGCCAAGCGTGGAAGAGGGGCCCGACCTGCAGCAGTACTGAGACATAGCTGTGTGACAAAATCAAACTTTTCTGCTGCAAGTACACTCATACAGTGTGCATTACGGCAATATTTACGTCTCTCAGTCACTCCTCATGAGTACCTGAAGCTGGGGGAGGGAGGCAGGCAGGAGGAAGAACTACCATATAGACAGTTATACAGCTTTATGTATGTACCACTGTATGTATTACTGACATTCTTCCAAAACCACCTGTCTGGATCACACTGCTGTGTGCAATTGTAGCACCACAAACCCTTTTCTCCTTCCTTCCCGCCACCCACACAAGCTTAGGGAGACAAACGCTGGGTGAGAAGAGGCATATTCCCCGGCTCTATTTTTCACTTGATACTCTCAGATTTAAGTCTGTGTAATGCCATAAGAGATGTGTTAATGGTGCCACTTACAGCAATCATCTTTTTTTTAAAAAAAAAACATTATAGTTTCTTAATTTGTAACCTAATTGCTTTTCTTTTCTTTATTTTACTTTAATATGTAAACATCTTCTATACTATTCAGCCGCATTGAGAAGAGAGATCTTTGTCTGGATCTTGTATAACACAGCATGGAGAAGAAAAAGAGCTTCCAATGAGCAGAGGGATTTACTACTCTTATTTAACATTTATACATTAGGGCCTTAAAACCATAGCCAAACTAAGCTCAGTTGTTCTGGGGGTTTTACAAAGACATAGCAAATTGCAGCTCCTTTTACGGAAGCCACACAGCCTACGAAAACACACAGGCTGACAGGAGAACAGTGGGCTGCAACTGCACTGGGAATGCAGCACAGCAAATGTAAGACAGTATGTCTACTTTGTAGCCAGTCACACGGGTGAGCACCATTCTTCACCCAACCCTCTCGTTTTGGGCTATACTTTATAGAACTAAAGCACGTTTGTTGAGCAGGGAAATCAGAAGTCTCTGGAAAACAGCACGTACTTTTTTCATCTTTGTCTTATGCAAAAAAATGGAAACTAATGCTTTCAACTGCACTGCCATGTCTCTGTCATTGGATGATGATCTTGCACAATGAATTCACCCAGTCTGAGCAGTGGGTTTTGTTCCTGACCTGGATGCACAGCTGAGGCAGGAGCTGGTGCTTTGTTTACCAAGTAGCACTGTAAAAGCATTCTGAAACAAGTCCTCCAGGTGAACATGAAGTATGCTGTCCGGCAGAGAAAGCCTGTAACTTGTGATGCTCTGCTGAAGCTGTGCAATGAAGATTTTCACATTTTAGAAACCCTACTTCTGGTTCGTGTTCTCCTGTAATTAATTTCCATTGTTAGTGTTCAGTGAAAGAAATCAACATTGAAGCAGCAATTTTACCAGCAACAATAATGTCTACAGAGGGCAGATCCCATCTTTCTTTCTTACCTTCTTGAGATAAAAAAATACAAAATTTAGCAACATTATCCTTTAATTTTCTTTAAAAGTGAAATTTTTGTTTTGTTTTGTTTTTTTTCTTAACGCTAACGGATGCACAGTTGCAGTCAGGAAAAGACCAGGACAGTTGCATTATAAAATACACTGCTTATTTTGACAACTATTTATTTTAAGTATATCAGAGATAGTAGATCTGTGGTTTGTTCCTTGGACTAAGCATAAACGTTTTGCCAAGTGCTTTGTTCCACATTCCCTTTAGTTCCCTCTGTGCCAACAGACAACTGTTTCTACTATGCTGCCCTTTTCTTTTAGCTGTGAGACAGGACTAGTACTTTCCTTATAAAGATAACACGAGTATTAGCTGAGTTAAATTCTGCTCTCAGATGCAGCCAAACAATTCCCTGAGCAGATCAGGAGTTATAAACACCCATCCAGGAAGGACAAACTCAGCAAAGGGATTTTATGTGGAAAGTGCTTTGAATAAGAAAAGCGTCATATAAACGCTAAGCATCATTATATTTATAGCCAACAAAAGAGCTTTTATGACTATATGGAAAGCCTAAACACTAACTAAAGAATTTGAAATGTCGTAGCAAATGAGATAACTTTCTACAGTACTTTCAGACAACCACATTGACCTCCTCCACCTTGCCCGCTCACTTTGCTCTGTGTTCTCAATGGCCTTGCAAGGGGAAATACAGAGCACCCACGTGCTCACATGGTAACTCGCTCAGCATGTTCTGGACTCTGAAATGAGGACTTCATTGCAATGATTTCTGAAATAGGTCTCACTTTATTCTGTACTGGATACAAGGGGTTTTTGGAAAACTTTCACCTTTTACCACTACACAACTTAAGAAAGCCAAATCCGATGTGACGAAATCCACCCTTTCGATAACTTTGTAAGACATGCATATCAGCAGACGAACTAGATTCTAAGTACAGTGCCCGGACTACTACAGCATGGCCAAATACCTGCTGTCTCTGAAAGAGAATGGCAAAATTCTGATACAAATGGACCTAATGACCCATGCGTACTGTGGTTAATACTGTTACACATTAAGTTGTTTTGTGTGGTTGTGGTACACTAACTTGATCTCATACGCACCAGGCAAACTGAACAACCTCTATGACATTTTTGAATATGAGGTCTCAACTTGCGGCCTTATATTTCAAAATGCTGGTAGAGGCACCAGGAATTTTGTTCCTCCTAACAGCAGTCAGAACCAAGTTAGGATAGGATTGTCACCTAACAAAAAGTGACGCAGGTGGAAAACTATTAATAAGAAAGTGTTATCAAGTAGGGAGAAACTTACTCAGCAAACTCCAAAGATGCCTCAAGCACTTATGTACTCCATGGTTCTACAAAGGCAGCATTTTGCATATCAAGAGAGAGAGAGAGAGAATATTGCAAGTAGGAAACGGACTGGAACGCTCTAACCTGTTTATGCAGCTGATGTCACTAGAACGTGTGCATGCGTGCAAATCTGTCTGTGTCTATTATAATAATGTAACTACCTCACTCTGCATTTTCCAGGAAAAATATTTTGGCTTAGTTTTACTATTCCAAAACTTGCTATTATTAATTTCACTTCTCCACTAGTCTTTTGCATTGATAAAAGGTTTCTCCTTCTAAGGGGCAAGATTTGGAAATTACCAAAAAATATATATTAAAAGACTTATTTCAGGATATGGATGAAATTTTATTCAAACCATGTTGCCTCAGTTACTGCTTGTAATGTGAACCTTATGAGATCAGATCTTGGGGTTAATAGACAACGAATACAAACATACTGTGTTTCAGCTTTTATTTTTTCAATGGCTTTCCATTACTTCGTGTCTGCTCTGGAAAATAATACGATGCCACTAATCAAAGCAAAATGTTTGTACGTACGTTTCCCTTACAATCCTCATTATGTTATGTGTTTTGTTGAAGTAAGCTCATGTGTAAGTGTATTTGTACAGCAGAATGTGTCCATTGTATTGTATCCATGTCAAAAATAAAAACAGTACCAACAGACAAAGCTCTTCAAATCTAAACACGTGGGGTTTGGACAGAAGCAGGTGACAAACTGCAAAAAGCAGTGGTGAATCCATCTTAAAAACAACTCTGTCGTTACAGCACCTGAACAGCGAGCTACACAAAGGACCACATTCTGCCACCTTTGCTCAAGTGAATCAGTCCTTTGCTCCAGGAGCTCTTCTCTGAGACTACTTCAATGCAAGATACGAAATGACACTGCTTGGAACCCTGTCTCATTGAAATCAATGATAAACTGCTTTGGGATTACATTTGAGCCAATATTTTTTAAACTAGTATGAAATACACAGAGCAAAACTGACTTTAGAACAAATTGTAAAAATGCATTGTAAAAACCAAACAAAATTGTAAGGAGCAAGCAAAAATACTGCTAGTTCAAAGAGAAAAAAGGAGATGACAGTGACTAAAGAACTGTTCTACAGACGCATCTTCAAGCATGAGACGTGTTTGTCACTGCTCAATGATCTGGCCAGTTGATGAATGTCCTTGCTTGAGTGGGACTGAGCACGTCCCCCAAACCTGGTTCAAGCACAACTCCTGGAAGACTCATTTTAGAAACAGAGGCAGACACAGTAGGAAAAGGTCAAGACAGAACTGCTGACTGTCCCGTGAATTAAGAACCACGGAACATCAAAGGTGCTTCCCTGTGTCCTGCAAGAAATACTCTTTTCCTAAGATGCATTAGATCTCATTGCCAAAATACATAGCTGTTCCCAAGCCAGACCCAAATTGTTTCTTTAAAACATATGAAACCATAAACAAGAACACAATCTTCCTAGACAATGTGGCTATAATGGGGGTCAGAAGCACTGGATATTAGGGCAGAAATTAAAGGGACTGGAGTTACCATACAAAGTATAAGTAAGAAATTCTATGCATTAGACTCTGAATCTTCAAAATTATTCTGAGATCTTGAAAAATATGCCTTTAGTCTCCTGCTCCCTCTGCTGGACTCTATCCACTTTTACACTTCACTTAGCCTCCTGGCTCTTTTTCTTCTAACTGAAATGTATGGACAACTGAACTACACGAAATGATGCACAGTTTATTGTAGTTTTATTATGTGGTCCAAAATTATTACCTTTTTATAAAATGACCAACACACAATAAAATGAAATACTGTCAAGTAATCAAAAGAAAACATACTGTAAACACTGATTAATAAAATTCCCCAAAAAATACACAATTAATGCCATTAACATTATAGCAGAGGTATTTGTTGTTTAAAACCTTTTAGTTAAAATGCAGACAAAGAGCTTCCGACTAATAAGACAAACAAACAAAAGAAAACCCCACAACTATGACCTGAGTTGGAAAACAACCAGAAAATCAAAGAGATGCAGGCTCCCACCCATTCTTGTTTTCATTACAAAATGAGAATGAAAAATAACAGATCAACAACAATAAAAACACCTCTCAGTCCAGACAGGCTTTGCTGCAGTTCAGTGCTCAGCCCCAGGGCAGGAATGAGGAAAGACTCCACGCAGGTCAAAAGCTCTGCTGAAGTCAAACAATTCTGCCTGTTGGCCCTTGGTCAACACGAGGTTCCTCAAACAGCCACGGAATGAGCTCTTGCTTGTGAGGCAGTTTTGCTTCACATCAGCTGAAAAACAAATGTGAAAGATGTAGAATCTGTTTCCAGTGAACTGAAACAATACAAAGAACCAGGTTATTATTCAACTGCTTCCCCTCCTTCCCAAACAAGATACAAAAACACCACCTGAGAAGCAACAAGTTCCATTCATGTTTGGATGATCTGGGACATCCCACTGTGGATAGTCACCACTGCCTTCAAGCGTGAGCCATGCACGGGGAAAACCTGTGCAGAGTTTGCAGAAATAATTTGTCCCAGATGACAATGGGAGATAAGCCAAGGGAAAAGAGAGGGGAAGACCACTCTATGTAGGTGTCTTCCAAGTTAAACTGGCAGAATATGGAACAACAACTGAGCTGTACACAGTCATGGACCCCACCGGCAAACCAAACCATGAGGCTGGTAGAGTGTCCAACTCTTTTTTCCATACAACCTGTGAAACAATTCATTCTACTTCTGTAGTACTCAGCTAAACAATTTCTCTCTTCTCTACGAACCCTATTCTTTACAGATAGAGCACTGAAAGAACAATTAGTATCACATTAGCCTATTTAAAAAAAAAAGGTTCACAAGGTGTTGATAAAGCTGCTTTGGTATCTGAAGAAGACCAAATATTAATCACGATTTGGTTAATTAGCACTAAATCATTTTTCATAAAGCACCAAAACCTTGTCCAACAGAAGGCTCTGTAACATTTCAAGCTATTATCCATAAAGCTTTCCAAATATTTAAAAGCTGAGTTTGCCCTTCAGACCTCATCACTCTGTTTTCACACAAATGGAAATATCTGAATTGCTAAACTCTAACAGCTGTTTCAGAGACAAATGGATATGGGCATTTTATGCTGTTTAAAAGCATAAGACACTCAAAACCATACGAAGCCTACTCACTTGCAGTACTGATGTGGTCATTAAAAAGTATTCCTGAAAACAGGCCAGACTCACGATGTCCAAAATTCAGTCCTCTTAATGAATACATGGTCTTGGCTCAAATTATCAACTAATAGCTGCACAACTTAACCGAAAAGTAATTCAATTATATATTTTTTGTGTTACTATCTTTTTATATTACAGTTGTAGTATGATTGACAGACAGTTATTTCAGAAGGGAATTTGCACAGAACAAGGGAAATAGATGTTCATCTGCAGCAGCTTGACTTCTGCCTGCACAGCCCCCGACACAAAACATTAGCAGAAATAAAGCAGGGAAAAGCACTGTAGCAATCTTACTTGGATGAATGTGAAGGAAAGCCCTAATATCAATTTGACTGCAGGAGAACCACACCTCAACATACACAGGCAGAGAGTTGTGAAGTCTGAGGGAGACTGCGAAAGATAAACCATGTGGAGGAAATCCTTCTCAGAAACCAAGGAGCAGGTTTGTGTAGGAGAGTGACAAGAGTTTAGTTGATCTTGCCAGCACACTCAACAGCTAAATGCCGTCCTTCACAAAGACAGTATGCACAACTATTAACATGCTGTGATCTCATTGACAATGTGGAGAATGGTAATTACGATTTATAACTCAATCATGAACTTCATGAATCAGACAGAGAGAGCAAGGGAGGAAAGGGGGGCGGAGAGCGCATGTATTAAGAGTCATTCTTATGAGAGAGAGAGATGGAGCAGGAGGGAGAGAAGGGAAGAGAAATATTATTGTACCTACCAGGATAGCCTCCAACATAAATGGGATTGTTCGTATCTGCAGATGTTGACTGGATGTAGGGATTATCACTTTGAACCAAATTCCCATCAATTATCAGCGAAATGTGATGTTTGCTTTTGTTTGCTTGAAGCTTGTGCCATTTTCCATCGCACAAACTATTTGTGCCTCTTGGTTCATACGCAGCTGTTATTCTGCCAGCTCCATTGTTGACATGGAAAAAAACCTGTATAAACAGTCAGATGCCAATAAAGATATAGAGTAAGAATACATGAACTAATTTGCCTAGATAAAAGCACAATCATGCTGATGCAGAGACTTCCGTTTTAACACACATTTGGTGATTATGCAAAGCTAATGTTTACTTTTATAGATAGAGTGTGTCCTTATCGAAGTAGCTTTAAAATCTAAAAGATTTAGATCTATCTCTGCAATGGTCCATTAGGTTAGCTTGGTATACTTGAGATTTCAATGTTTTTTACAAATACAAATCAAGTATTTTCTCACAGAAGCTGAGACTTCAGATCTGAAAGAAGATCCACTGTATCTAACCGAAGAGAAAGAGAATTGACTGAAAGCACTTGTCATTGCCAATACATATATTGATTTACTTAATGTATTCATTTGTCAAAGCAGTAGACATTTCCTCAACTCTGTGGTGAGGATTAATATGTAAATATTCATGGAGAAAGTATGTCCCACAGAAACAGTGATATTTAATACTGTCTCTAGCTAGGAAGTTTTGAATAAAAAATGAGTTATTTCTAAGAAAACAAAATACTTAAGAGCAATCAAGTATACATTTTTCATGCAGGAGATGACTGGAGAACTATGTATTGATTGTTAAAAGGTTTATGGAGCATAATGGCCAGTAGAAGTAGAGAGTGAGTTAATTGCTCATTAACATTGAAGAAGAGATTACAAACCAGGGTGCTTTGTACATGCAGTAATATGTTTATCAAGGACAAGTATGGCAGAAAAAGTATTAAGCTACAAGAAAAGTGTATGTTTGGTCTAACATAAAAGGTATGTAGTAAAGGGGTCACAGTGGCTGCAGGTTAACGTAAATTACACTAATTAAGAAGGCAAAAAGTTTCAGTGACTTCTGTTAATCTCATATTTTACCATATAATGATGATGATAAACCTTGAGCCTGAAAGTCTGTCCCATAATAGCTCTGTGGGGATTTGGTTTGGACATTTTGCCTCCATCCCATTTCAGTGGTGTCTGTTTAGTGCTACCCAACTGTTCTAGGCTCCCAGTTTTAAGGAAGCCTCGTGAAATGAGTGTGCCGGCACAGGGCAGCCTACCTTGCCATTTACAATCTCCAGTCCAATGGCATCAACCTTAGCACTGCTGACCCCGAGAAGAACACCGTGCATCATTGTCGTACGAAACTCCAGTGTGATGTTCACGTCAGATCGGACTTTGTAACCTTGTCGGACTGGAAAGAAGTTATAAGCTTCTAATAGAAGCCTTGTAACCCACAGTACAAAGTAGAATACATACATTGTCCTTAAAAGGCCTAAAAAGCTTGTTAATTACTCTGCCAGGATAGGACCTTGCAGAACCCCTGAAAAATAAGTCCTCCAAAGTTGTAATTCACATTTTATACTGGAAAAGCTAAATTCCCAAATAAGCTTTCTTTCATTAATTTAGATTTAATACATTCTATCTTATTTATAAGAAACTGAAAAGAGCACATATTAATATAATCCTTCATGTTACTTCACAAGTACCCTATGTCTTTTGTCTCCATACCCTTTAACAGACCTTAACTTAACATCATGAACACGGATATCCTCAGCTGAAGAAAGAGGCAGCTCATTTCTTTCCCAGTGCTAAAATCATTAGAACTTTCATTTGTGGAAGATAGCCCTTCACAGAAATGTCCACTTTTGGATGTAGAGAGTAAAGTGGCTCAGAAATACATATGCTAGGCACACACTCTTTGTGTGAGGAGTCAATTAATTACACACAGTCCCAGCACGACGTAGAAAGAGTATGTTTTCATTAACTTTAATTCGCTAAGGTACTGCTTTCATTTAATGACACTTACCTAGAGCAGCAAAGCCACTCCCATCAAAGAAAGTACCTTCCTGCACTGTTACATAGCATTTATTCACAGCAAAGATGGAGACAGGGCTCTCCTTGTTCAGTTGCTTGCTGTTAATTGTCATGCTATCAATGCAGGCAGGAATACTGTGAGTCACCTAAGCACATTGAAATATAAGAGTTAATGTGTAATACAAACTGCTGCAATGCTCTCTTAGTGATTCACCTGATGTTATTGTAAATAAAAATTCTCTTAACAGAACGCAGCAGGATTTAAAATATTTATGTAATTACATTTATATTTATTACATATGGTTACAAATGTAATAATGTCTTAGAGTCACAATAAATACTGTTCAGAAACACAGTACGCTATAATATATAGAAAGAATTGTGTTTGCCTGAATGTGAGCAGGGATACCCCCAACAGTTAAACACATTCCAAACATGCTTCAGCAAGTTAACAAGCAAACCAAGATTTTGTAAGACATTCTGTAAGTATAGATCACCAGAGTTCTATCCAGCAAAAAGATTCACTAGAATTACTCACTACTACTATTTTCATCAATTGCAGATTCACAGTGTTAAGATATTTGTTAGCCCCATCATCCACTTAAAAAGCACAGGTGATGAAAGTATGCCCAGGAATTGAGAAACATTGTTATCACCAGAATCCTCCCCGAGATAATGGACTGCACAAGGAGGAAGGTGACTAAAACCTACCCTCTAAAAGCACGTACAAAAAGCATGTTTTAGTCTCAGCCTTTCAGAGATATTTAAGGCACCTAATTCCTGTTTGAATACACTAGGACTCAGGTACCAAGATGTCTGAGATTCTAGGTCATATTTTTATCTTATACTAGGAAACACAGGAATTTATACTCTTTATCTATTTTTAACAGAAAAATTGATAGAAGAAAAAAATCTATTAAGGGCTAGTACTAAAACACAAGGATACAAGCTCTAGCTAGAGTCATAGAAAGCTGGAAAGATTTATCTGATAAAGGGTCAATACTTTCTTTGTTATTACTTTCCCTAAGTAATGATCCCTTTCCCGGCAAGACCATGGAGTAGATCCTCCTGGAAACTATGCTAAGGCACCTGGAAAATAAGGAGGTGATTGGTAACAGCCAACATGGCTTCACTAAGGACAAATCGTGCCTGACAAATTTGGTGGCCTTCTGTGATGGAGTTACAGCATTGGTAGGTAAGAGCAAATGACGTCATCTACCTGGACTTGTGCAAAGCATTTGACACTGTCCCTCACAACATCCTTGTCTCTAAATTGGAGAGACACGGATTTGATGGATGGACGACTCATTGGAAAAGGAATTGGCTGGATGGTCACACTCAAAAGAGTCACGGTCAACAGCTCGATGTCTGCGTGGAAACCAGTGACAACTGGTGTTGCTCAAGGGTCAATATTGGGACTAGAGCTGTTTAACATCTTTGTCAGGGACATGGACAGTGTCATTGAGTGCACCCTCAGCGAGTCTGCCAACAACACCAAGCTGTGTGGTGTGGCCAACACGCTGGAGGGAAGGGAGGCCATCCAGAGGGACCCGGACAGGCTGGAGAGGTGGGCCTGTGTGAACCTCATGAAGTTCAGCAAGGCCAAGGGCAAGGTCCTGCACCTGGGGCGGGGCAATCCCAAGCACAGACACAGGCTGGGGGATGAGTGGATGGAGAGCAGCCCTGCGGAGAAGGACTTGCGGGTGTTGGTTGACAAGAAGCTCAATATGACTCAGTAATGTGAGCCCCCACCTGTGAGACCCCAGAGGAAGGCCACAAAGATGATCAGGGAGTTGGAACCAGATGATCTTCAAGATCCCTTCCAACCCAAACCATTGTATGATTCTAAGTAGTTCTTTTTTGCCCCTGTCAGAGACAAGATACTGAACTAGATGGGTTTGATGCCGTATACTCATTCTAGTATTGCAAAAATGCCAGAGGCACCTCACCACCCCAAACCTTCTTACATTCCCAAGATTCTTCGGCACGTAGTCTAAAGGAAGTCCTCCCACGTAGAGCTTCCCCTCCACGTCCAAAGTGCTACCATCTCCCAGGACACTGACTGCTACCAATTCCTGTCCATCCACAATGATTGTACCTTTTCTTTTAACGTATTCTGTCTTTATCTGGAAAAAATGAGAGCACGCAAATATGAATCACTAAGTTCAATCAGTTACCTAGTCATCATTTGCCATAAAAGTAAGCAAGACCATTTTTTAGTGGTTACATTGCTTTGATATACTGTACTGAGGCATCCTCTTGAAAATCATTGTGAGGCTGAGGCCATTTCAGAATGCAACTGAGCAGCTAAACTGCTTCTTTGTCTCGCCAATGGCCCACAATGGTTGCATGTTGTCCTGCATAAGTCTTTCAGTGTCTTAATCATCGAGTGCACCCTCACCGAGTGCCGACACCACCAAGCTGTGTGGTGTGGCCAACATGCCGGAGGAAGGGAGGCCATCCAGAGGGACAGGCTGGAGAGGTGGGCCTGTGCAAACCTCATGAAGTTCAGCAAGGCCAAGGGCAAGGTCCTGCACCTGGGTCAGGGCAATCCCAAGCACAGACACAGGCTGGGC